CAACACCTATCGGGGGAACAGCAACAGATTTACCTCAACTTAGTGTAAAAGATGACGCACGTGTTTGCGATAAGAATAATGGTTGTCAATGAAGACCAGATCTTACTGCATAAAACGAGGCTTACCTGCAGGAATCAAGGAGTCCGACTGGGGAGATGCAGGTTTCTGTGCATTGTTGCGGCCTAAAAAAAAAACATTATTTGTAGTATATACCGAAAATAGTATGCTACCAAGATTACGCTCACTTACTTGCAGTATTTTTAGCGGCATGCTGGCTGGGTAAACCACGTCTTTCATGGACTAGTAAGAGCTGCATAATGTCACCAGAAGTAGTAGATGCACTGCTTGTTGCATTTGTCACCATATTAGCAACTGAACTAGATGCATCTGTTAGTCTATTATGGGAACTACTGTTAGTTGTGGTAGTAGATGCAGAAGGTACCCTTCCAGGTGCCATTGTTTGAGTAATAGAGTCGTCAGCAGTGTGACTTGAATGAAAGTTTATTGTGTTTGAAAAGGTAGTTGCTTGGGAATCGGCCTCACTAACTCCTGAAAAGCATAACACAATTTAGTTAGTCACTAGTTTTTTCAAAAATAAATAAAACCATTAGTTACAATAAAGTTAGAAATGTTATATAAACATGATATATGGCTTATTTCATGGTTTGTCGGTAAAGTAAGGGAATGTTCAGTTGTTGTAAACAGTACATAAAAATTTTTCAGAATGTTCTTAGGACGTATGTATAAACAACGTTGACTTATTGATACACCCAGTTAGTAATTTAAAGAACCACGTTAGTATTAAATTGACCTCGGCCGTAAAGTATGACGAACAATACATTTTATTTGTATAACTGTCAACGTGAAATTTGAAAACCTACCAGTTGTTGGGTTGAGGCTGATAGTACTGTCAGACATCCAAATAGGTCTTTCCTTGACTACCTGAGCTGAACCGTTTGAGCTTCCACTCAGCACAATTCGAACACTGCTTTCAGTTGGACCAAAAGTGGATGCGTTTCGCTTGCTCGACTCGCCAAAATCCAAACAATCCAGATTGGAATTTTGAGCTGCAGTTTGTGTTCCATCTACAGTATCCTGATAACGTGAAAATGTTTAAATAACTAGCGTCAAAAAGGCAGCCAATAGAGAAATCTTTTCACATCATGATTTATGCATGTACTGACATGACTACCTGATTGGATAAATTCGACGTCATACAACCAGTCACATTGGTTTATTCATGGCTTAATTTTCTGACGGTTTCGTAAATAAATATATACCATGTATTAGTCTAATGAAGTTGTTGTTTTTACAGCCACACGCCAGTCTTTTGTATTCTAACATCTCCGTGGCTCAGTGAAGCTGAGGGAGGTTAGTCGTAACAGTATTCGGTTGAGGTGTCTATTGACTCTCAGTATCGTTATACCCACGTGCATAATTCCATTCGTTCACAACGCTGTAATGGTGACCTATGAGGTTGCTGTATTTACGTTCAGTCATTCTAATACCATCCACCTAAATACCTCAAGACAAAAAGCCTATCCGGCGTTACTTCTCCTACGAAGATTACCAGAAGAATCACTACAGTGTTTAAAAACAGATACACATTCAATGGAACACTCACTGAGGTTGGATAAGTTCTCAAAACCTATGAAATCCCTTCACATATATGAAAAGAACACTTCACAATCCCCATACATAGCACAGGGTGGTAAACAGAGCGCATTAGTGACAAGCGTACTTCACAGAAAACCCCTCTGTATACAATATAGCTGTGAAACGCCTGCAAAAAGACGTGAATAGGCTGACTGACAGCCAAATCAACGTAAAACCTCGCATAGGCGCGTCTTCGCAAGTTGTCACACTTCACAAAAGTACACAAACAACACGCATAGAAAAGTTAAATACAATAAGGTGGTCTGAGAGAACAAACAGTCTGAAGACAAAGGTAAGTGCTTTAGATATCAAGGAATGAATACATCTGCACCATTGTGACCGATCTCACCAAGTGTCCTCAACCACTTATTACTTTCCTCTCGCAGCCCCCAACCAGGCAGTCAGTCTACATCTCTTCACATGGCTCAATTCAACAGTCAGGGACTTCATGGACCCGTGCCACGTGCTTGGTCTGGTCACCCTGAACCCTATTCCATCCTAATCAAGCTATCTCTAGCATGGGACCCGAGGTGGGCGATGGTTTGGTATGCGCAGTACATGTCCAAGTCATCTCAGTCGGATAAAGTTCACAACTTCATCAACCAACTTGCCTGTCTTGCTTAGTATCCTTCGCCTGACCTCAACATTGCTCATATGATGATTCCACCAAACGCGAGCAATGCTACAAAAAGATTTAAGATCAGAACTCTGCAACTACTTCATGTTTTCAACTTTTAACAGCCATGTCTCAGCCGTACAACAGGACAAAACAAACTGCAGTGCAGCATAGTCATCTTTTGATAGATAGTTGAATGTCTCGCCAGTCAGCATCATACATGAAGCTAGTTGGCAAGTGGCGAACAGGCCTTCTGTATCCCAGCTGAGATTTCATCAGCAACCACCCCTCTCGGGTTGATGCAACTTCCTAAGTAAGTGAAGTGGCTGATGCACTCAACTAATTCACTACAAATCCCTAAACTGGGAGTGGTCTCAACAGACCAGTCTTAAAGCATCATCTTAGATTTGACAAGCGCCAGCGAAACGCATGCCAAACACTCAGATTTCTGCTCAACACGTTCAGATAACCATGCATTTCTTCAGCGTCTTTACCTAGCAGCAGGACAATGTGGTCTGCATACTCCAGATCAACTGAATGACCTCCAGCAAGTAGGTCAGACGTGCCTATCTCACTCACGGAGAGATATTAACAGCTCACTTCGTACTGAAGTTAGTGCTGATGATGTCGTCTAGCAAGGCGATGAAAGCTTCACGAATAAACAACCCAGCTCAGAGAACACAATACAACCAAGATTAGGAATAAGCATCACCCAGTCGTCCCACGATCCTTCCTAGTCCCTACAGATCCATTCAGTCAAACACCACATAGACGACTGTGTACTGGAATACAGTCGAGGAGAGCACTTTCTGGCCTACAATCCAATGCTATGCCTTCACTAGCTAGTCTACGAGAGCTAGCCATGGGGTCTCCAGTGGATTTTGAAGATTCACTACTATGGCCAGATGAGGTTTGTTTCATAATAAAACCCGGGTCCCGTATACGTTTTTCAGAGACACAGCATACATCCATAACTAGAGTTCTGGCGAGCGATGTTTGCTGTCCGACTTGGCATAGAGTTCGGACATTGAGAGCTCCTTCATGAAGTCGATGGTGGGGTCTTAAGAGACTAGGAATGAGGTGTCGATAGCTTTGAACATTGACAATGGTCGTAGAGTGAGAGGTTAGTTAAGGCGTGAGAGGTTTAATATTAGAAGCAGGAGGCGAAGGCAAATGAGGACACAAAGTTGAGGAGGATGCGTTATGGCTGATAGGGTCTTGTGTGCTACTGGAACAGTGTGGGTGTTTGACGTTTTCTAGCTCCCTACACCATGGAAGGCTATTTGTCCTTAGGATACCTGAGAGGAAAAAAGATTTGTGTGACCGCAGTGCTCAGGGCACATGTGATTGAGGTTGGTCACGTACGGCCTTTTCGATCCCACGACAAGAGGCCTGTAGTATGGGAGATGAACTTGGACATACCTCCTGTGGTTTTGGACTACAACAAACCACTGATGACTGGTCTAAGCCCCCACAATGCATCATCTGATTATTGTTTAGGAGCATGTTAGGGTTAATAGCTTTTCGTCTAACCACTATGCAGGAGGCTCTCTGATATGGTGGGTCTTCGAGGTAACAAGCGTCCGACCAACATACCTCGTTGGGTCTTGGTGACATACAAGTGGGAACCCCATGTCACGGTAGCAGGTGTTGGTGGGGAATCAGTTTCATATGCTTAACCATCGCCAGCTTTGTATTACTGTCTATATGTCATGTAACCATCACGTCAGACGTAGTTTTAGGGAGAAGAGATAAGTCAGTTCATGAGGCTGTAAATCTTCTTCGACTGAGATGGCTGGGACGTGTGTTACGGACGTCTAATTATCCTCTACCTTGTCACCTAACGTTAGCTAAAGTGGGTTTACGTTCGAAAAATTTAAAAGCGGTCAGAATTGAACAGGGTGTCAGTTCATGAAATCTCTCACTGTTGTCCCGAGCAACATATGTAGACACCTCAATTGGGTCCTATGTGACAGCCGAAATCGGCACTTGAAAACTGTAAATCCCCACTGAACAAAGGTAATAACGAATTCTGGCTTACAAAAGAAGTTTGATATATCATCTCATCTTGTGAAAGCACAGTGACCTTGAACTCAGTAAAAAAGTGGTGAGTTAACTCGTACTGATTGCTCGGAGTCATGAGAATATAGTACATGACTATTCCACCGCATTGACAAGAAAACCATACAAAAAATGGACAGATAGGTTTGCAAGAGACACTTAGTTCCAATGAACTACTTTCAAGCGGTATTTTGATGGAGCTGATTGAACTGTCTACAGACATATGAAGTTTTCTGGGATATCTCTATTACATCACCCACCTTGCAAAATGTGCGTGAAACATTTCGGTGAGTCAGAATTTGGAGCACAGCAGTTAATTCGTGGTTAGAACTCATAAATACATATGTGAAATTAACGACACATTCAAACACAGTGACTAACAGGGAAAACTGTTTGATTTAGCACTAAGTAATTTATAATCAAGATAATATTCTGACATATGAATTGATAGAAATGGAATACGATTATTTGGTTCTGTTCTATGAACTAGGTTCCGACCAATAGGTTTACTAGTTTAAGCTCCACTAAATCTAATCGGGCTTTAGTGATCAGAAAGTATCTTTAGCATTTAAAAATAGAGTGTTTAATAACCTGGAATACATATTTTTCATTTCTTGACAATCTTTGTTCACATGAAAGGTATAAGAATATAACCCCCATGAAAATTATGCCTTACTGAGTGAGCTAATTCAAACACAGTGTTGGACTTACATCGTTCAAAGGTTCAAGGGGACGAATTTCTGGTTCAAGTATAGCAGGTGACAAGTGTATTTCATCACATTCACGGAGCATCAGATCAATCGGATCTCGAACCTATGAAAAAATATTCGTCTACAAATTAATAAACAAAATAAAATACCTTCAGGAAATTATTTGTATTTGAAAAGCGATACATAGTTCACAACTGACTGCCATCACTAAATGAAAGTATAGTTACTTAGATGTGATTCCACTCTCAACGTGCTACTCCCCACATAATCACTGCAAATCTTCATGTAGATAGCAATTTTGCCCGAAAGCACGTTGAAGATCAAGAACATTTCAAGTTGATCAAGCTTACCTAGGCTATCAAAACAACAAATCAACTTACAGTAACATCCAACACCACCTGTCCCTCAGATTCTACTGTTTATTTTATCTGCTCAACGCATTTTGGTATTAATATTGGCCACTTCAATTTGAGAAGGATGTCACTATTTTGTATGTCTGGTTCTGAAATCCTTCTGCTTAATTGGTGATTACAAAACATGCCTTAGTGTGACACATAAAGCTGCTCTTAACAGCCCCATATAGAAACTTTCTTTGGGGTATTAAGGTGGATATGATCCATAGGTAATCAATGAATAGGGATTGAAGACACCACATCATATTATTTCCAAACGATTCTAATGCGGCGAATACACCGATCAAACAAATTCGCAGCAATTCTGAAGTGTGCAGTAAGATCTTAAGAACTTTTGAAATAACAAAGAACTATGGGATCTAATTTGTCTAATACTTAAAAACCTGTATCGGTAAAAGCCATGATAACCAGGTGTTTATGGTGCTCAAATCTTCCCTCATATGACGTATTTTCAATCCGTTGATATGAGAAAGTAAGTGCTTTAGTTTATCAGAGACATGAAGTCAGTATTTAGGTTGGATTTCTACTAATCTCAGGCTGACATACTTTACTACAGTTGACGAACCTCAGTGCAGACACACACAAAGACCTAGTTTGGCAATTGACAACTCATGCCACTTCCGTTTTCAGAAAAGTATTGGACTACGTATCAAAAGATCAGTATGGCGTGTATGAGTTACCTTCGGATATTTTCATAAACCTTCATTTCTTTGCTCTCTCCTCTCATAAAACTGTTTACTTCCATATCATCCTTATTCCATCCACTTTCTCTTTGAACGTTGTTGTGAAGTGTGAAAATTTGAGATGATGCACAATCTATGAAAAGTTTTCAGTTGATTTGCTTGTTTGTCTACTATAATGGCCGTTATTATCGACAAACACGATGAACAATGAGTATTTGCTGTTTCTATGACTCACAACGTAACTCGGTGTAAGAAAGCTGAGCACAATAACTGTATACATCATGATGCATAGCTGTGCTCCATGTTCAGCACAGAAACTGAAGTAATTTCAGGCGTTAAAACAGTAATAGTAACCTTAGAATGAGCATGAACATTTTCATAAATTGCAAAAAAATTTCGCAGAAGCACTTAAATATCAGAAAGCATGGGCAGATAGACGTAACAAAATAGAATATTGTACGAGTATAATATGAATAAACACGGTCGATCAGTAACACTTTTCACGGTAAACAAAATATCAGTGAGTTACGTTGATCGTCACCATAGTTTCATTGAAAACAATACGAGTGCAACCAATCTAATGAATTCTGTCAAAAACGCTAACTTGTAGGTTCACAAAATATAAAATTTCAGTAAACTCTCTTAATTAATACACATTTCTAACCGTATTTCACCAACAGAAATGAGATCGCAGCCTTTAGTTCTTAATGCTTTTTCGTAATAATGACTTGCTGTCTAGAGGTGTCAGTTCCTATGCCAAATAAGGATGGATTTTGGGACTGCCGCTTATCGGGTTAGGTACTCTGTTTTTAATCAGTCGATCACATATTCGAGCAGTCAGCCTTATCCAATGGATATGCACGAAACTGTCAAACTGCTGGGTTACATATCAGGTTAGTTACTCATTATAGGTTTTATCTCCATCACCTTATGACGGAAGCAAACAAAAACAATGCATCATCCTCATGTAATGACAAAGTCCTCAGAAACTTTCTAATAGTTTTTCTTTGATAAGGTTGTATATTGAAGGTAAATATAATTTATATCCTTAAGATACAGTTAATCAAGTCAATCAAGTAAGTCGGTACTAGACCATCATGGTTTGTTGAGTAAACATGAATATATTTCATACATCTGGCATGAGTATATTCCACCATATAAGAGTCTCCTACTAATTAGGAAGGAAAACAGAGCTTCTTTACTTAATATTGAAGAATTTCCTGCTTCTGAACAACCACAAACATAGACGTCAAGTAAAATCAGTAGGCTCCAATCTAGAAAACTAATTAGGTTGAAACACAACAAGAAACGCATAGAAGGAAATTAAAATGCCAGTTAGAAAGCATTGCAATGCAAAACTAGAAAAAATAAAAAAACAGACTGACACCTCGTTAACCAATCAAAATTGCTATAATGCTTAGTAAAATTTAAGAGAAAGACAAATGCGAATAGGAACTGAATTTATCGTTTCATACAAATCACTTATAGTAAATTCATTATATCCACTCTCAGTTTTAAAGAGAGAACATGAAGCGCTAGAACTTGTTACAGTGAAATTAAGAATATGAACAGAAAATTTATCACTTATAAGAATTTCAATAGTACACTTTACAGCACAAACTTGAGATATTTGTGATACTCAAATGATTCGCAATCGATCTTAAAATAAATTTCGAACTACTGGTTGAAATTTATAAATCCTAACTAGAAAGACAGTGATTATCATTACATTAAACACGTTTTAGCAGTGCAATGTTACACAGCATACTTAATACACTTATTGACTTTTATTATTTAATCGTTAGTCACGGTTACCGATTCTTATTATTATATCTATCATTTCATGGTTAAAACGTAATATTTAAAGCGTAACAAAGTTCGACAGGACTGCTGAAATGAAATACATTAACCAGTTGGTGGAAAAAGGATACTGAAGTCTTACTACTGAAAAGAGAAAGAATGGAAATATGATCCATTTTACATTAGATTAGTTTATCTGATATAGCACACAGTGATATTATTTTACTTACTAGATGACGTTTCAAGCTGAATTTAGTGCTCAAAATCATATCAAGGTTACCAAACAACTTTCTGGCCTAGTTTTTATAGTCGTCTTTCTTTCACTCCTTAATTGAATTGGTATTAAAATTTTCCACACATCTGGAATTGGTGTTGCGTCATGTCGATTACACGTGTTAGGCGTTGGATTGATGAACATAGATTCAGTGATCAACCTGTCTCTCAACTTAACTATAATAGACTTCAGGACTGTAACTCTGTCCTATTAGACACGTATTCGACTTTAGGAACACCCGTACATACGAATATTCTAGATATTTAGCATTGATATTATGTTCTATCTGAAACTACTGAAAATGTAGACCAACCAATTATTGTGAAATAAAGCGAAGCTTACATAACATTCATCTAGAAGAGGATGAAAAAATGATTGGTTTTGATGTAACAAGCTTATATTCTAATGTACCAATCAGTATAACATCGCATTCCAATAGATATCTAGACTCTAGGTCATCTCAACCTACATCAGTCAATGTAGGTTTAGTCAAATGTTTGAGTAATCACGCCTAGAATTCTATCCAAGAAATTAAAATTATAAATAAGAGAAGCTTCATTTACTTCGTAATAATTATCCCCCTAAATATATTCAGAAATACACGATGTATAAGAAAAGAAGGAGTAGTGATGTGAACGGTGATTGCAATGCAAGTAAGAAGGAGTTTAAGGCATCTATGGTGTCGTCATATAAACAAGGCACATCAGAAACTGTTACGTAGCGACAAGAAGGCAGCCAATAGGGGAGTTTTCAAGTCGTGATTAGATCACGTCCAGGTCATGATTTATGCATGCGCTGACATGAGGACTTGACTGGAGGAATTCGACCTCACACAAGAAACCTGATTGGTCCATTTGTGGCTTCACTTTCTGAGAGTTTTGTAACTTCATATATGTCATGTATTTGTCTAATAAAAGTTGTTGTCGCTGTCCTTGCAGTCACAGGCCGTCTTTGTATTCTGATTTTTCCGCGGCTCAGTGAAGCAGAAGGTACTGAGGGAGGTCAGTCGTAAAGGTATTTGGTTGAGGTGTCTATTGAGTCTCGAGTACTCTTTATACCCACGCGCGCAACCCCACCACTCGGTCACAACAGAAACTCTACATAGGATTCTCATTAAAGCTGGAACTAGTGGCATTCAAACCTACAAACCCACTCACTGACTAATTTTGTCAGCCCAAGGATCCAACAGCATAGAATAATTTGATTTACCTTGGAGTGACTGTTAGATCAAGTAAGTAGGTCAAGTTAACGGAATTGGATCAACTAGGTTGACGGAACATAGGGACTTAGCTAAGTGCAGATTGATAGATACTACTAAGATGAGTAAGCAAGAAAAGGCAGTCATAACTATGCATATATTAACACACAACCACTCCATGGAGTAGGAAGGAGTTACAGTCCTGAAGTCTATTATAGTTAAGTTGAGAGACAGGTTGATCACTGAATCTATGTTCATCAATCCAACGCCTAACACGTGTAATCGACATGACGCAACACCAATTCCAGATGTGTGGAAAATTTTAATACCAATTCAATTAAGGAGTGAAAGAAAGACGACTATAAAAACTAGGCCAGAAAGTTGTTTGGTAACCTTGATATGATTTTGAGCACTAAATTCAGCTTGAAACGTCATCTAGTAAGTAAAATAATATCACTGTGTGCTGTATCAAATAGACTAATCTAATATGGAATTGCATTTTACCCCAGCCCCAAATTCTATGCGTGCATTATTGATCTATTTCCTCCCCAACAAACGATGCTCTGTTAAGTCACGTCCTTCGAAAATCACAGTGAGTAATAAATAAAGTCAAACTGTCCTGACACAAAGAAATCAGAATTACGTATTTTTAATGAAAACATACGTGTTGCAAAGAAAAACAAATAATACCTGGTGGTGAAATTTGGCGATCAATGCACGTGCATCTGTACGTGAGGCATTATCTTCTTCTTCACAAACCTCACCACGACAGTAAACGCAAACAAGTTTTCCTGGATTAGTGAAATCCATTAACCGATCAACTTCCAAGTCTGTATACGTTGTATTACACGAAGAACACTTGAAACTGGCTCGACTTGTCGATTGACGTTGTTCAGCTTCCAATCGACGTTGCATTTGGTCTAACCGATATTTGACCACATTAACAAATAGCTAAATATAAAACATTTGAAAAAAATGATAAAGAAACGTTCGACATGTGTATGTACAGACAGACACTGAGTAGCCGTAATTGTTGAGCAGTGTAAACATTCAATAATGTCCTGTTCCCATTAAAACTGCTTGGTGTACCTATTTCTAAGAATCGTTACGCAACTACCACGTGTAAGTAACCCTGATTCTCCACGACAATACTGCGCCTACTCTGATAGCTATTGAATTTAATAGCTTTACCAAATTACCCCCAAAGCTTTAGGACCCCAATTTATTGATGCAGAACTGAACTGACAGAAATTTCCCTTTCACTTATTTCGAAGTTTAGAGCCTAGACTTAAAGGTAGCTAAGAATTAATCAGTATTCACCAATATTACAAAGTAAGGTGATAAATAGTGAAACATGGAGGTGTTTGGTATTCATCCAGAGATTTTGTTTAGAATGAACAACAATTATTAGGTTTTCCATGAAACATGAATTTGCGAATAGGTGAATCTCTTGAGGCTGAACGACGAAACTAAATCAAGTTTCAACAATGATATCATTGATTTATTCAAATTACTTGAATCTCTTATGGCTATTGAGTAATCACCACCTAACAGTTCTGTTTAACCCATTAGAATTACCCCATTTATCATGATAATGGGGTCACTTACAATAGAGCATAATTACTTTAAATCTTGTTAGTTCAAAGTTTATCATAATACAGAGATGATTCGACGTAATTCAGCATGCCTGGATTACAGAATGATACTGTCTACAAACCGTCAAATGTGAAATCTATTCGAATATGGATTTTAATTGCTTTACTTTTTTATCAGCTTTTCTTAAGTTATCGTCTTTTACTTTTGCTGCACTATTTTTCTAGGCGCTAAATACGAAAGTTAACAGTCTAGCTAGCGATAGCGAACATGAAGACTTCGAACTACAGGAACAAGTTTAAAAAAACAGTTCTTAATTTATGAGTATTTGAATCAATCAGTTTTTTCTATGCATTAATGCACCAATACTCGATAAAAGAATTACTAGAAGAGATTCGAAATGAAAACGGTAATCCAAAAAACACAACTCCGATCATTTAGCGTATCGTGTTGTGAGGACCTCGTCTAGAAAAACTACTATCTTATACAATTCAGACCGATGGTCATTGTCAGTGACTGAATACATTGATATCATTTATTTCTTAAGAATCCTAACCGTTTTACTAACCGAATACATATCAGCATTTGGCTGATAAAGAACACCGACGCCTATGTCAAGTGATTCTTTTGTAATAAAATGATGAAATACTACTAAGTCAACGCTACTCAGTGATCTAGTACACATCTTATGTACTATCTTACAAGACACTTAAAAGGTAAATAGAACGCGGGTAGAATCTGTGGCCTAATTGTCTATAGACAGAGATTCAAACAAATAAACTACAAATCACCACACTTGGTGACTTAAACACTTGAGAAATGTTAGCTACATAATGTAGACCGTCAGGTGTATTACATTTGGTGGAAAGCTGAAAAAAGATACGATATAGGAAGCTTACCTTATAATCAATAAAATAATGTGTAATCTTAGTAGTTTTCCCATCAGCATCCGTTTCCAACTGTAATTTAGATTTGATAAATTGGTCACATTTCAGGGTATGTAGATACTGTCTCAGTTGTTTCCGTTCAAATCGAAGTCTTTCACATAGATCGTCTTCTTTCATGATTGTATTCCGTACCTACAGACAAAAAAATAAATTGCACTGAAGTATCTTTTCTCAAGCACTTAAGTCTAACCACATTATTTACTAGTATCCAGAAATGGAGCTAAGAAACAATACAATGTATCCTTACGCCAAAGGCTCGAAACTACTGCGGAAATCATTTTGGAAGTAGCATTATTCCACGCAAGGCTCATTTACAGGAAGTTTTGAGTCTCCACTAAAACATTCAAATTGATAATCAATTATTGGCATAGAAGAAGAATAAACATTTTTTAACCACAGCGGAGTCTCGCGCATCGGCAAGCGTTCCTGTGTTTCAGAGCCTGGTCGATACACCCTTGGCCAGGTCTAAAGACTCCCTGCCCCCAACCTCCACTTGGGCGTTGAAAAACTATAGAACTTTAGATACCATGTTTTTGAGCCTGATTCCTCTGTGGTTGTAGTAGGAGGAATTTTCGCCTTTCTTGAAGACTGGGGTAATCAGTGATTTAGACCAGTCAGAGGGGATCATATCTGATTCCCATATACTGGTTAACACTTCCGTTAACCTGACTAAGAGCACTCTACCACCACCCTTGTATACCTCAGCAGGTAGTCCGTCTGGTCCTGCTGCCCTTCCTCGTTTCAGGTTACCTACCGATTTCCCAACTTCTAGTGTTGGGGGACCTATTTCAATGTTCCATTCAGGATTCGACTGGATAGCGGGCAACGCAGTGGTGGCTACAGGCCAGTTAAACTCTTCCTAGAAGTGTTTTGTCTATCGTCACAGTCATCTCACCTGCGAGTGAATCGCAGATCCCTCCTTCTCCGCTATGGTCTCACTAACCGCAGTTGACCTTTGCCCTTCAGTCTGCTTAGTAGGTCTAAATAACTGTCTACTATTACCGATCGCCACTGCCTTTTCCATCTCTAGCCTTCGTTGCCCACCACTGTTGGCGATCGTTGCGTAGAGTTTTCATCAGTCTACTTTTAAGTTGCGCTCGCTCTTCATTGTGCTCAGAGTATGCAGGGATGCGTTCACGTGCATCCATTAGTTCGGAAGAAGCTGCTGGTATCCACTGACTCTTTTTAGCCACTATTTCACAGTCGGCTACGGTCTTCAGTGCTGCTTTTACAGCAGACTGGAGATGGCACCAAGCTTCTTCTGCATGAGTGATAGTCTTCTGTCCCGATAACTGCCTAGTCAATTTCTCACTGAAAGCGGCTTTGGTGTTTTCGTTGTCCAGAAGCACTCGTAGTGGTTTTGTCGCCAGATCTTTCTTACGTCCATTGAGACGCAGGCATAAACGCGCTCGGACCAACGTGTGGTCGCTACCCAAACACGTACTCCAGAAGGAGTGGCAGTCTTCCGCCGATCATCTCCAGCGATGACTAATACCAATGTGGTCTATCTGTGTCTATCGTTGAGTTGAGCTCGGTGGACGCCACGTCAGACAGTGTCTTTCTTTATATCTGAGATTTGTGCTAGCTTAAAATAAGCGGTTATCTGAGCACAGCTGTAATAGGCGATCACCGTTACCTGTACATTCCATCGGGACTCCGAAAGTGCCACCTAAGTGCCTTTCTGCCTCACTCAGTCTACCCACCTGTGCGTTGAGGTCACCTGCAACAATCACCACTTCCGAATGTTTGGCTTTCGAGAGGAGGCTAGACAGTTTACGGTAGAACTCGTCCTTCACTTCATCCGAACTGCAGTCAGTGGGTGCGTAAGCAGAGATTACAAAGAGACAACGGCGAGTCTCACTATTCCTTTCAGTTCTCGCTGTGCCGTTCAGCCGCATAGCGCAGAGGCAACTATCAACTGGGATCCAGTCTAGTAGTGAGTTTCCTGCCCTAGTGCTTAGTGCTATGCCTACACCTGCAAGACCACGAGAGCCAGAGATCGAATCTCCAGAAACTCGAAGGGTGAATCTTGCAGATTCACCAGATTGGTCGGGAGAGGTCAGGTGAATAACTACACTTGGGTCCTGTATGCGTGTCTCACGAACACAGCACACATCCATGGCCCGAGTTGCTAGAGTCTGCCAACGAAACCTGTTGACTAATTTGAAGGAGGGTGAAAACATTGAAGGCTCCAATATGTAATTTGGAATGTGGTTTAAGGAGACCAAGTATGCTGTTTTGTGGACTCAGATCGTTGGCAAAGGCTGCAGAACTAGGAGAAATTGAAGATGATGTAGTATCGTTAGTCGAGAGACGTGAAGGAAGATTAGAAGGTAATGATGAGGGAGGCGGATAGCAGTCTGAAGAAACTTGAGTGCTGATAGAGTTGTGAGAGGGGTTGACACTTCCCGGCTGCCCACACCATGGAAGGTTATTTCTTCCTAAGGTACCTGAAAGAGATTTGTGTGACCGCAGAGCTCATGGGACATCTGCTAGAGGCCTGTCACACACAGCCTTTTGTGTACCATTAGTTTGAACTTTTGCTGTTTTGGAGCCGGATGGTCGGAAAGAAACGATAAATGAATCAACACCGCCGATCCGGCAGACCGTAAGGTATGGTTGTGTTTTTTTGGGGGGAGGGGCGACCTTTTCTAAACCCGCCACTTCCACTGAGAAGGCAGCATCAACATGGCAGTGGTGGTCATCCAAGGGAAACACCTTACTGCTGTCACACCCCATCCAGCTGACAGCAGTACGACTTCGCCCTCAGACTCCCATCATAGTGTAGTAATTTACACCACAACGGTAACAGCTTTTCGTCTAACCACTATCCAACAGACCTTTCTGGTATGGTAGGACCTCGAGGGAACAAGCGTTCCACCAGCATAGCTCGTTGGGTCATTATGATAAGCAAGCCCGACCACCACGTCGAGATAGCAGCTATCGGTCGAGAATAAGTATGGAAACTGGGGAGTGCTTTAAATGTAACACGAAATAACCCTAAAATTACTTCTGCTACAAAGACATATTCTTACCAGCATATCGACGATAAGTGAATGTTCTCTGGAGTAAAACGTCCTGACAATAGACCGGACTAGCTTTATCAAGCAAACAGGTACTCTAGCTGCATCTTTCTGATTAGATGTGGAATCGGGTGTTTGGTGGGTGGAAATGGTTGAAGGATTTCTTTCCGTAACATGAAGTGAGTCTGAATGTATTGTGTTTTTAACACCATTGGCTGAAGGTGTAGAGATGGACGCACTGATGGCTGTTGACATCGATGGTAAAATCCTGTATAAATTCAAAAAATCTAAAATGCGTACTCCTTTCACGTATTTTTGAAACATTGTAAGACATCACTACTGAGATATAACAAGAACAAACGCAACAGAACACCACAAATCAAACATCATGACATAGAAAAATAACCATTGTTTACGTACCCGAAGACTAAGTATTTTACAATCAACCTACACTGTGCTTGTGCATCCATGCTTTTCAAGGAAACGGGGGCAAAAAAGGCAATGATTAGTAAGACCTTAACGAATCAAAGCGTACTCAGGAACTACGTGCGCATTCGGACAGAAAGCAACGAACCACACCTTTTGTAAGGACTAGTGATACTACATGGCTGCCCAAATCTCGAGTAGGTGAAGTGGTGCTCTAACCCGCTACACATCAGTTGAAAGTCAACTCCTTAAACCAGTAAGCCACAACGGAAAAGGATGGACATCCTTGCAGATAAGACAACTGAAACGATGGTCAGAACAATTTGAGGAGCAGTTTAACTAGCCTCCACCTAATCTTCGGTTGCATCTTATCCAATCGGAACTTGAATGGAACAGAGACAGGTCCTCCAACTCTTTCAGAAGTTCAGAAGGTTGCAATTATCCAGAAACGAGAAAGAGAAACAGAACTAAGTGGGTTAGTATACGATGTTTTCAAGGAACGTGCTCGAATGTCATCGGTCACGGTAACTGAAGTGTTATCTACTGCACAGAAATCAGATATGATTCCCTCTAACTGGTTTCAGTCACTTATTGTCCCAGTTTTCAAGAAAATCGAGAAGTCTTCGAGCAGTAACGAGGGGAATGAGTCTAGGATTCCAACATCACTAAGTGGCTAAGTAAAGCTCGATAACAGGAAACTAGGCAGATTTCAGACTTGGTCACAAGTGCATCGACTAGATATTCACTCTCTGTTAGGCTCTGGAATAAAGCCAAACTTACCGACGCTCAATACTAGCCATATTTATTTAGCTGAAAATATCATCCAATTCCCTTGATCGAAAGGTCCTGAGGTAGCGTCCTTCACTCGAAGGAGTGTCAGGTAAGTACATCACCCTGTTGAAAGCTCTGTATTCGAGCAACCTTGACCGTGTTAGAGCCTACGGTTAATTGAGTCCATCAAGTGGTGACCATCAAGGGTGTCCACTTAATCTGTTCCTTTAAAATTTATCACACAGGTGTGTATGTAGGTCTCCCTTGTTTCTTATGACAATCAAGGAGTGGTGGTCTGGCTTGCATATTTCAATAACCCAACGAGCTATGCTGGTGGAACACTTGTTCTCTCAAGCAGTTGTCTCATACGCTCTGCTGTCACACACTAACCATTCTTTCTCACGTTCTTCAAGGAGAACTAACCTTTCACAGTGTGGGTAGCCAAAACGTACCAATCTACCTCACACTCCTAATAGTTTAGAAGACCTAACCAAACATAAACTACCCTTCTTACCTCTATCTGCTCCGTTGCTTTTACCTTCTGATTATAATATTAAACCTCTTAAAAACTTAAGGACATGAGAAGGCTTCAGGAGTTCGACTGAATTTTCCTTCGTCGCACAGACCGTTAGTCATGGAGGGAGGACGTGGGTAGCGTAGAAGTGATGTGAGGAGTTTTAAGTCGAAGAGGTGTGTCAGTTGGTGAATTTGTGAAGCTTGATGGAGTGAGATGTCTGTGACATTAGTGAGACATGCCTATTCACCTTGTTTGTATAATGTGGCACAATGTTAGGTGAAGTAGGTTCAGGTTGTAGAAAGCTTAGAGGTGGTCAGTCTAAAGCATGAGATGAAAGCATATAGTGTGTGACAGTTGATGTCAGTGTTGTGTGTAAGTGTGTAGTTGGCAGTTGGGGATGTGGAGGCGAGTGAGCTCGGTGTTTTGTGAGTGACTGGGTGTGATATGGTTCAGGATGGATGTCAGTGGTGGAGATGCATTCATGTATGCGTGCGTGGAGACATTATTTTCATCTTAAGTCGTCATACTAGATATCATTATTATTTAATTGCTTCTTGTTCTGTTTTCACTCCTCTCTACCATTCCGACTGCTTTCTTGCTCATTTCCCTGTTACTTATGTGCTTACTATAAATAGTACCTTGATGTACTGATTTGGTGTGTGACAGCCTGATCGGTTAATCAGTATTGGTAGGTCCGATGCTGATGTTGATTGACTGAGAATAGATAAATGTACTTTTTTCTGCTAGAGATACGCATAATCTCCTATGGCAAGATGGTAGTCGTACACTTATTCTGATTTCACAATAGTGCAAAATGACACATATGGATCGGTTATTCAAGTATCAATCTCATCTGCGAAATTGGAAACAGACGTTTCAAAAATGTGTAACTCAATAAACATATGCGAATTCGTGTCCCAATGTGACAGCTGATGGTACTAAGTGTTCGACCGGAACTCGGGAGATGGGATGAGGTTGGAACTCGTGAGCCACCACCAGCATTATTCGGCCACAGCTTCACAAAATAAGTACTTGTGCATAATAAAACCATAATAAGCTGGCAGTTAAGGTAATTTTCTAACTTAATCTGTAATCGGAGACGCATGTTCGAATCATCAAGAAAACACCAGTGTGCAGGACTGGCGATGAATACCATCAAGTAACCGACCATACAGAGAGAAAACTCAACGTAGAACGTTGCATACAGTAGCACCGGCTTACGTTGCTACACTTCGCAGCAATCTGCAACGAAGAAGTGGGTAGGAAAAGACTGATATCAAAGTAGATGGAAACTTATAAGAAAATACACATCATCATCATTATCAACATAGGACCAGGCATTACTGTGTAACGGTCCGAGTTGCCACACCTCATATCGGCACATCAAGTAAAAAGGTAGTGAGGTGAAGGATGAAGATAAGTGAATGCAGTCAAAAGACATATAAAGTACGAGAAGAAAGGAAAGAGGAGTGACAAAATAGTGAGATTCGGTATAGCGTTGTTAAGATGAGGATAATCTGTATACATCTGCGGCACTGACATCGGTTCTGAGCCATATCACCTAGGGTCTCCAACCACTGGTTCCTCTTGTCCCGTGGACCCCAACCACCTAGTCTGCATCGTCCTACATGACTTAAACCAACAGTCAGAGACTTCATACATTGGTGCCATGTTTTAGTCTGGCCACCTCGGGCCTTTTTCCAACCTGGACCCACCTCAGCCAACATTGTGTGACGAGGCAAACGGTGACTAGGCATACGTAGTACGTGTCCCAACCATCTCAATCGATGAAGGTTCACAACCTCGTCAACTGACTTACCTCTTCTCCCCAAAACTCTACACCTAACTTCTGCATTACTCACATGGTGACACCACCGAATACGTCCTATATTACGAAGGCTACGGTGGTCAAACACCTGAAGCCTTTTTGTATCCTCCACTTTCAATGGCCATGTTTCACAGCCATACAGTAGAACAGACCGGACTGCTGTGCAGTACACAGCAGCTTTAGAAGACGTAAAACAGTGGATACGTCTGCGCGATTGCGGCCGATTGTCAGCCATTTCACCAGGAGATCTAAGTTACTGACTCATACCGCCTCGGAGACCCCAGCCAGGTAGTCTACACCCTCATACACTGCTCAAACCAGCAGTTAGATTTCATAGACTGATGTCAGATCTTGGTTTGGCCACCGTTAACACTTCCAGATTCCTCCAGGGTTGCACGTCAAGGTAGGCGGTGGATCGGAATGCGCAACATATGTACAAGCCGTCTTGGTGGTTGGAGATTCACAAACAGACCGACTAGCCTAGTACACTTCGGCTAACTTCGATTCTACTAACATGGTGATTCTACCATTTGCGAACAATGCTGCGAAGACACCTATGATCGAAATTTGTAAACATTTCACGGCCATGTCCCACAGCAGTAAAAGGGGACAGGACGGACTGCAGAGCAGCATACTCGTTCACTGATAAGCGGTTACCATTTGGCCGCAGAGATGGCGAAGTTGGCGAATGTCGACCGAGCTTGTTGAATCCCAGGTGAGATTTCATCAGCAACCACCCTGCTCAGGTTGATCCAACTTCCCAAGGGAAGTGGTTGATACATTCAACCAATTCATTCCGAATCCCTAAATTGAGCATAGGTGCAGACCAAACATGAAAAATCATCTTACACTTGAAAGGTGTGGGACGCATGCCAAACACTCAGATTCCTGCACAACACGTTCAGAAGAACCTACATATCGCCAGCATCTATCTTCACCTCACAGGAAAATATAGTTTACGTACTCCGAGTCAGCCAAGTGCCCTCCAGAGGGTCGATCATCTGTGAAATCAGACGAACCTAAGGTTGCGTCCATCAGCCTATGGCGAAACTGAAAAGAAAAGGTGAGTGGGAATGCACAGCGGACGCAACTAGTCATCACTTCTGAAGACAATTCTCTATAAGCCGTTACACTAGTGAGTGAGATCAAGTAAACAGCCTTCAACAGCTATATATACTTGCTCGGTTCTTCTTTCGTAGAGAGACACTGCCACAACACATCACGGTCGACACAGTCGAATGCCGTCTTCACATTAAGAAATGTGTGAACTATTGGCTACCGGTAAGTATGACTGTGTTCCAGAACCTGCAGAAGGGTGAAAATCTGATAAATTCACCCTTGTTCAGGTCTTACGCCTGTCTGCTTCTCTCAAGTGTTATTTTTGAGCTCTAGTAAAGTAAGGCGTCGGATAATGAAATTCAAGATTTTGGACACGACATAGGTCAAAGCGATTTCCATATCCCTCTCACAAGAAGTATTTCCTGCATTCTTACAGACTGGACTGATCAGTGAAGTACAATAGTCTGAAGAAAACATCTCTGATTGCCAAACACAATCTAGTACTTTCGCAGGCATAATCAGTAACTTACTAGCGCTATTCTATAAACTTCAGAAGTCAAAACTTGAGTTAATGCAGCATTGGGTCGTTTCAGGGTCGAAATAGCTTTCTCAAATTTAAAGAGAGTTGTAGTAAAGACATATATGTCGCTGAAATCCGATGCCGTTTGC